TCTCCTCAAAGTGTCTTTGCACTGTAAAAGACAGAGCATATTCCACCCCATGAAGAGAACTGACACATCTCAGAAATCTTTCTGGTCTTCTTGATTTCTGAACAGCCCTTTTATCTGTTGCTCCAGGTGTTGTCACTCATGCAGCCCTACACAATCCTCCATTCCTCCATTCCTTTCACATCACACCCCGTGTTTTCCAGCTCCAAATCCTTCTTTATCAGAAAACTGACTCCTTCTGCCTCATGTGCCTCAGACGTCTGCTTTTCTGAGATTTGTACTACAGTGAAGCATGGTTCCTTTCACAACCGCAGCCCCTGAGGCCACTAGTTGTCACTGTACATGAAACTCTGTCCCAGCTGCAGACCATGGAGTGACAGTCATGCATAATGAACAGATCTTAGAGGTCTTTATCAGATTAATTCATGTATACTCAGATCAGTATCTATCTTCCATTGCACTTTGTCCTAAATCTGGAAGTTTGGCTCGCAGGGAACTGGTAACAGTTTTTGGTTAAAGAGGCAGGTATGGCTCTGTTCCAGACTGTGCATCTGCTTTGAACAGTCTCTGAACCATATTGGCTTCATTTTCCTGAAACAGCTTGTTTGGGGTTACTTGCAACAGCGTGCTGCATCTTGGAATCCACAGTCTCTTCCACATTTTGTCTGCCAGACTGCAGCCTGTCATAACAAATCAGGGGAGTCCATGCCTGGGAAATACATGATTGATATGTGCTGCAAATGATCAGATGAGGGATACTGGCCTCAGAGACATTCTACAGTACAGCTTCTCAAATTTATTTCACGTTCTCTTCTTGGATAAGATTTCTTTTTTCTTTTTCAGGGCGTGATTAACTTTGCATCAAGGATGTCACCCTCTGCTAAACCCACCCTTGAAAATTATTCAAGAATAGGTCAGCCTCTTTCTTCCAGAGTCACATGGCATTGTCAAAACTAACATTGCAGCAGAAAAAAAGCAACCTGTCTGCTCTGTGTGGTGTGTCAGCTATTCTCATCTCTGCTAGGGATTTAAGTGGTTTGTCTGTAATTGGTTTATTTCATAACCAAAACTGAATATATGAATCCCTCTTATGCTTGCACTGGGGCCACAAATTGATGAAGAGCCGTGAAAACACTTTATCGCACTTTCTGAGCAGGAAACCTGAATGGCAGCGAATAGTTTCTATCTTTCATCCAAATATGAGCGGGAAAAGTTTCCACTTAAAACCTGGCTTAAGACACGTTCCAGGCTTAAATCGTGACTGCACTGTCCATCGACACCACCGGCAGCGCCAGGCCCAGTGATCCTGGAGGGACTCCAGTTTCTGCTGAGTCAGGCGTAGTTATCTGCTGATTTCAGCTGGTTACGGGCCCGCCTGCCCGAGTTCAGAATTGGTTTGTCCTGTCCGGATAGACAGCGTGACCAGGACCGAGCTTCTCAGGAGCGCAGTCCTGAGTTCTGTGTCTATCCGGGGGCATTAGTTCAAAGGCCAGGAGGAGCCGAGGCTGCCAGGGCCGGCGCGTCCCCCCGGCTGAGCGGAGCGCGCGGCCCCTGAGGG